AGAACATTGGTAACAACTATTCATTTGTTATGTTTTGTCTTCCATCATATCATTTAGTGTGAATCTTTATTTCGAAGTGAGATATATCATCGAACAGAACATTGCTAACAACCATTCGTTTGTTATGTTTTGTCTTCAATCACATCATTTAGTGTGAATCTTTATTTCGAAGTGAGATATATAATGGAACAGAACATTGCTAACAACTATTCATTTGTTATGTTTTGCGTTCAATCACATCATTTAGTGTCAATGTTTATTTTGAAGTGCGATAGATAATCGAACAGCAGATTTATAAGAACTATTCATTTGTTATGTTTTGTCTTCCATCACATCATTTAGTGTGAATCTTTATTTCGAAGTGAAATATATAATGGAACAGAACATTGCTAACAACTATCCATTTGTTATGTTTTGTTTTCCATCACATCATTTAGTGTGAATCTTTATTTCGAAGTGAGATATATAATGGAACAGAACATTGCTAACAACTATCCATTTGTTATGTTTTGTTTTCCATCACATCATTTAGTGTGAATCTTTATTTCGAAGTGAAATATATAATGGAACAGAACATTGATAAGAACTATTCGGTGGTTGCATGTATTTCCATCAGCATATGTGACATAAAATGCTCCGACGTATGCTGGATATAGTTGAAGGTCATCTTTGTTATATTATTCAGTATTGGAGTTACTCTACACAGATCTGAGGAACTTCGGCATAAGTTGGAGTCTAGCTGAATATAATCGAACGGAATATTGCTAACAACTATTCATTTGTTATGTTTTGTCTTCAATCACATCATTTAGTGTGAATCTTTATTTCGAAATGAGAATAATCGAACAGAACATTGGTAAGACCTATTCATTTGTTATGTTTTGTCTTCAATCCCATCATTAAGTGTGAATTTTTATTTCGAAGTGAGATAGATAATCGAAGAGAACATTGATAAGACCTATTCATTTACTATGTTTTGTCTTCCATCACATCATTTAGTGTGAATCTTTATTTCGAAGTGAGATATATAATGGAACAGAACATTGCTAACAACTATTCATTTGTTATGTTTTGTTTTCCATCACATCATTTAGTGTGAATCTTTATTCCGAAGTGAGATATATAATGGAACAGAACATTGCTAACAACTATCCATTTGTTATGTTTTGTCTTCAATCACATCATTTAGTGTGAATCTTTATTTCGAAGTGAGATAGATAATGGAACAGAACATTGCTTACAACTATTCATTTGCCATGTTTTGTTTTCCATCACATGATTTAGTGTGAATCTTTATTTTGAAGTGAGATAGATAATCGAACAGCACATTGGTAAGACCTATTCATTTTCTATGTTTTGTCTTTCATCACATCATTTAGTGTGAATCTTTATTTCGAAGTGAGATAGATAATCGAACAGAACACTAATAACAACTATTCATTTGTTATGTTTTGTCTTCCATCACATCATTTAGTGTGAATCTCTATTTTGAAATGAGATAGATAATCGAACAGAACACTAATAACAAATATTCATTTGTTATGTTTTGTCTTCAATCACATCATTCAGTGTAAATCTTTATTTTGAAATGAGATAGATAATCGATCAGAACACTAATAACAACTATTCATTTGTTATGTTTTGTCTTTCATCACATCATTTAGTGTTAATGTTTATTTCGAACTAAGATATATAATCGAACAGCAGATTTATAACAACTATTCATTTGTTATGTTTTGTCTTCAATCACATCATTTAGTGTGAATCTCTATTTTGAAATGAGATAGATAATCGAACAGAACATTAATAAGACCTATTCATTTGTTATGTTTTGTCTTCAATCACATCATTTAGTGTGAATCTTTATTTCGAAGTGAGATAGATAATCGAACAGAACACTAGTAACAACTATTCATTTGTTATGTTTTGTCTTCAATCACATCATTCAGTGTAAATCTTTATTTTGAAATGAGATAGATAATTGAACAGAACACTAATAACAACTATTCATTTGTTATGTTTTGTCTTTCATCACATCATTTAGTGTGAATCTTTATTTCGAAGTGAGATATATCATCGAACAGAACATTGGTAAGACC